TAACAAACGTCGTTATATTGTCATCGTGTAACAAACATTGTTATATAATGATCGTGAAACAAATATTGTTATACCATTATCGTGTAACAAACATTGCTCTATATCGTTTTGATAGTCCAAAAAATAAGAGTAGAGAAAAAATAGTCCAAAAACTTTAAAACAGAGACTTATAAGGTGATACATATAAAGAATAGGAAATAATTGGATAAAACAAATAGTGAAAATTGCCTGAAAATATAGGAATACACAAATGAATACCACTCATACAGACCCCCTTATATTATCAACTGTTATTGATTATGAAATACTCAGAATACAGTCCAATGAGTGCAACAAATATGATAGCTGGTAAGAGATTCAAAGTTTTCATTTTTTATTAAAACAGTTACTTGTATCTTTGATATGAAAGGTTATTTTACAGAGGTCGTAATGACTCTTACATATATAGATTATGATATATCTTCTCTGTGATGATCATTATGTTTCGTTTAAATAGTGTATATTGTTGTGTATATTTATTTTCTGTCCCCGCAACCTGTCTATCACTTAAATTAAAGTTAAAACAGACATTTTTTTTTCAAAATTCCCTATCATTTCAATATAATTTCCGTGACCCGTATCCGATTTGTTTAGTATAATATTCAAATAAGCAAAGTGGCGTTGATTTTTGGATATGAAAAAACAAAAAATCACACAATTTATAAAATATCCGTCGTCTCAATATATGTAAAAAATACTTCACATTTTGTTAGTATATAAGATACAATATTTAACATATATAATGTTTCTTTTAGTCCAGCAACAATGGCAAGATAAGAAACTCTTGCGTTCGAATAGATTGTTATTTTTGTATATTAAAAAGATCTGTTTCTTTTATTAAAAAATGACCGAACTGTTCCTATATAATGTTATAAGTGAACAATAAGAAATTAAATGGTATTATTCATTTCTGCAATAGAGTATGAAGCCATATCATATCAAAGTTCTTCAGAAATATAAATGCACGGAGAAAAATTTAAAGATAGTTGAATTTATATTTATTTGAAGCTGGGTATCGCTTTACAGAAGCTTTTCCTTAAATATTTTGGTTTATTTCTGACCGATGGTTTCTTTCATTAATTGTTAAAATGTTCGAGTAACGTGAACAATCACGATTTATGACATCACCGAACACGTTTAATACACACGATTCTGACTTGTCATGAAGATCACGATCTTTGTTATGTTGTCTCGGTCATTTCAACAGTCGCGTGTAGATCTGATGTCTGTAATGTGATCTCAGTCATGTCGACAGTCGTGTTTCGATCTGTCATCTTTTAAATTGTCTCAGTCATGTCGACAGTGTTGTGTCGATCTGTCATCTTTTAAATTGTCTCAGTCATGTCGACAGTCGTGTGTCGATCTGTCATCTTTTAAATTGTCTCAGTCGTGTCGACAGTCGTGTGTAGATCTGTCATCTTTTAAATTGTCTCAGTCGTGTCGACAGTCGTGTGTCGATCTGTCATCTTTTAAATTGTCTCAGTCGTGTCGACAGTCGTGTGTCGATCTGTCATCTTTTAAATTGTCTCAGTCGTGTCGACAGTCGTGTGTCGATCTGTCATCTTTTACATTGTCGCAGTCGTGTCGACAGTCGTGTGTCGATCTGTCATCTTTTAAATTGTCTCAGTCGTGTCGACAGTCGTGTGTCGATCTGTCATCTTTTAAATTGTCTCAGTCGTGTCGACTGTCGTGTGTCGATCTGTCATCTTTTAAATTGTCTCAGTCGTGTAGACAGTCGTGTGTCGATCTGTCATCTTTTGAATTGTCTCAGTCGTGTCGACAGTCGTGTGTAGATCAGCGCCATTTTGTTGTCTCAATAAATATTCATTCTTTCTTCAAAGCGAGGAGGGAAAAAAAAACAAACATCGTTATGTTTTCATCGACTAACAAACATTGCAATATGTTCATCGTGTAACAAACGTCGTTATATTGTCATCGTGTAACAAACATTGTTATATAATGATCGTGAAACAAATATTGTTATACCATTATCGTGTAACAAACATTGCTCTATATCGTTTTGATAGTCCAAAAAATAAGAGTAGAGAAAAAATAGTCCAAAAAATTTAAAACAGAGACTTATAAGGTGATACATATAAAGAATAGGAAATAATTGGATAAAACAAATAGTGAAAATTGCCTGAAAATATAGGAATACACAAATGAATACCACTCATACAGACCCCCTTATATTATCAACTGTTATTGATTATGAAATACTCAGAATACAGTCCAATGAGTGCAACAAATATGATAGCTGGTAAGAGATTCAAAGTTTTCATTTTTTATTAAAACAGTTACTTGTATCTTTGATATGAAAGGTTATTTTACAGAGGTCGTAATGACTCTTACATATATAGATTATGATATATCTTCTCTGTGATGATCATTCGCTGAACCAATTAAGAATATATAGTATGATACCTTTCTATGTGATCAATCAAATGGTCGACCTGGATTCCAATCTTTGTCTATCTTTGGCAGCATATAGAAATTTTGAAAACTTTGGCGATGTCTACGATAGCTTGCTGTCAAACTATTTCCTCGTCATTATACCTTTTTCTTCGTTTTTTTGAAGGATGACTTTTATCTTCACGATAATCTGTAATGTTTGATCTGTGGCCATGGCTTACGAGATTAAAATGAAACAGTATCTCGATATGGATTTCCATCATTGTTAATATACGACAACATATCGATTTTTCAAATTTTGGTGTTGTATTCCATAGCTAGCCGTCAAAATAATCTATACAAACCTCAGCATTTTACCTGTTTTGATCGGTGTCCTAAAAGCTGAACAAACTAAAGAATACTTACAATTTCCCTTTTTTATGTAAACTAAATTCATTTAAAAATTTTCAAAAGGGCATTAAATTGTGAAAACAAATTGAGAAAACTACGAATCAGGTATATTTTTATTTTTATATACTATTCAAATCTGAAAAGGGTTAAAAGTTTCATTTCTACCTTGCTGACACAAAACAATATAATTGTATGACCATCTTTGAGGTAAATTTCAAGTTTCATTATTTGTTGTTCAACTTTTTTAATGCTCAAACTCTTCGAGATGCAATTTTATTCAATGATTTCTCATTATCCGTAACATTTCTTATTATTATGATTTTTGATATTTCAAGATTTATTCTTGCATCGTATGATATTTCTATTTTTTCATCAATAGTTTCGCTTCTGGTTGACACAATCAAATCAGATAGGCCTTGAAGAAGTCTTTTTTAAACCCTACTAAAATTATCATTGATATGGTCATAATTATAAATTAACTCTGAACAAAATTTAGAATTTTTCGAATTACTAATGATTGTTTACCCCGGGAATAGATTACCTTAGCTGTATTTGGCAAAACTTTTAAGAATTTTTAGTCCTCAATGCTCTTCAGCTTCCTATTTTATTTGGCTTTTTTAACTTTTCTTTTTTTTTGGATTCGAGCGTCACTGATGAGTCTTTTGTAGACAACACGCGCGTCTGGTGTTCAAAGTTTCAATCCAAGTATCTATGATGAGTTTATTTACAACCACTGCGTCGATGTCACTGCTGGTGGAGTTTTTCTCCCCAAGGGTATCACCAGCCCAGTAGTCAGCACTTCTGTGTTGACATGAATTATCATTGATATGGTCATAATTATAAATTAACTGTTTACAAAATTTAGAATTTTTTCGATATACTTAGGATTTTCTACCAAAGGAATGGATTACCTTAGCTGCATTTGGTAAAACTTTTATGCATTTTAGGGCCTCAATGCTCTTCACCTTTATCTATGATGAGTTTATTTACCATTTATGTAGATTGTTGGATAAGGCGTATGTAATATTTCCCGTTAAGCCTTCTTCCCTGTATTTTCTTATCCTATTCTCAGAAAGGAGTAAATGAAACATATGAACATGAATGACTGTCTTTATTAATAATAATATTAATAAACATTGATATTTTATGAAATAAATTTAAGTTGAGTAGGATCAAATAAAAATATAATTGGTCAAGAAATTTCAATTGTGTTGACCAAATTGAAAGTTAAGTGGTATTGAAAGATTTCAAAATGTAGTCCGTTGTCACAGTAAGGGATCAAATAAGTTTAAGTTTTGATTTAAATTATTGTTAATACCACGGTGTATTTCAAAACAGATGAAAACGTGAAATAATACTGATCACATTAGATTTTGCTTCATCCGTTTATTTTTAATATTCCACATTTATTTAAAAACAAACAAAAAAGCCTTGTATTGAAAATAGAAAGTCCACAATCACATGAATCGGGAAAATACCATTATCTTCGAAGATGCTTTGTCGCGATCCAAAACGGCAAGTTTTGAAAATACTTGCAACATGTGAAAATAAACTTTTTGTCCTCTTATTTTTCAATTGAGTCACAATAAACATTTAATTGAAACATTTTTACTTACGCGATTTTAATTTTATAATTAAAGCGTTTACTTTCTTCAAGGTTTACATTACATTAAACTAATCCCAAGTTTCATACACAGTCACTCTGACTCTCTTAATTTCATGTTGGGCAGCATTACCTATAAAACAAATCAACACCATTTTCCCTGTTTCTGGTTCCCAATTTGGTCTACTGACAAGTATGCTTAATTTTTTTGGTTGCGATACAGATGATGATCTACAGGGGAAATATCCAAAATACGACAAATTCAATGTGTTTGCCTTGTACTTATGTCGTAATCGGTTTACAATCCCTACGTAGTTTATGACATTAACCTTGAGGATTATTATCAAGACATTTAATGTGTGTTGAAATACCTGAATAAATATATGTTTAAGTCACGATCAATGACTATATTTTGAACTTCATTGTTTTTTTTTTAACAAAAATCTAATTATATTACAGGCTTTATATTTAGAATGACAGGTGACTACAATCGTGAGCTTTAAAACAACATTACATAGACACAACTTGGGCACATTTTCTTTTATATTCTTAATCATAGACATCACCTATTTTTAAAGAAATCTGATATTGCAGGGTTAATATTACGAATGACAGGCGACTACAATCGTGAGTTTAAAAAACAATACATAAACAAAACGTATGCACATTTTCTTTTATGTTTCGATTCATTCATCAAAATCACCGGTTTTTAAATGGGACAGTTGATAAACAAAATATTTTTTAAAGATTACATTATACCATAGAGAAAAGGTAAGACTTATTAACTATCTTCCTATAATAACGATAGACTCCATAACATCAAAAAGGAAATGAACGTTTCAAACGCCCGTCGTAGAGGAAATGTATTGCGGCATACATTCTGATCGTTAATGAGCAAAAGCATGCTTTAATAAAATTTCATGAACCGTGTATGGAATTCATAGAATTATTTTAATCACTGTCTATTAAATAAATTTTGAGTTTGTCTGTTTAGACTTGCTGTAATTTAACATGTATATGGAGGCAATTGCCGGTTATTATTTCGATTTTCAAATTCCAATTGGTCATTAGCCGGTGCTAAAGTCAGATTGTCTTCAATTGAAATCATGGTAATACAATTTCGGTATTTGAAAGGATTCAAAAATTTATAACAATATCTAAAATAAGGCGATTTACCTATGTTCAAATCTCGTAAATCGATTAGGAAGAGAAAGATAACAAACAAAACCTGAGGGAATCTCATGAACTCGAAATGAAGTAAGACCGGTTGTGTCGACAGGGAAAATAAAGGCAACAGTAGTATACCGCTGTTCGAGATTCATAAATCGATTGAGAAAAAAACAAATCCGGGTTACAAACTAAAACTGAGGGAAACACATTAAATATAAGAGGAGAACTACGACACAAGAGAAACACAACATTAAAAGGTAACACACACAGAAACAAACTATAATATAACAATGGTCATTTTACTGAATTGGTACAGGACATTTTAAGAAAAAAATGGTGGGTTGAACCTGGTTTTGTGGCTAGCCAAACCTCGCACTTTTATGGCAACGTCTCCTGCTATGCATGCATCACCCGCTATGCAAATATATTCTACGTCAAAATAAGGAATAGGACACAATCGGTAAAATTACAGATCAGACAACTATATCTTAAGTGGTACCTAAGACTACAGGGAGATAACTCTGTAAAAATCAGCTAAACGTTTTAATTATGTTGTATTGTTAAGGAAATATTAAGCTTCTCAATGATCAAAATAAGTGTTTGTCAAACTGCTATATAACCAAAGAAATTTTTCTGATAAAGTGGTTGGTTCAAAATTTTTGAAATTTTTATATTTTTGTCAAAGGGTCAAATTAAACATTTTGTCAAAATTTTATGAAAATTAAACGAGCCAAATTAATATTAGTCAAGGTGTTGGGTACCACCTTAAGATCTGAGACAGCGCTATGTATGAATAATTCTTAACAAAACTGAGATTGTCTCCCTTTGCATAGAAAATTACATGATGTATAATTTTATTTGTCCAAGATGCACCATATACCTCTATAAGAATTGTAGAAGATCCAATCTTGAGGAAGAGAAAGACCACAAATTGCTATATGGCACAAACAATCAAGGGTAGTCTGTGCTTAACAATCAGGTGACTCCTTATTATAACTAAACAGTCATGCTGATTGCCTTTAAATGATTGATTTGAAATCTCTATATTCAACGAAAATTGGAATTTGATAAAACATTAAATATAAATAAATTTGAAGGGAGCGTTATTAATGGTGTCATCTGTTTCGATTGATAGCAGTCATGTTGCATTAGTTTGTAATACAGTTTAAAATTTCAGCTTTGATTTAACAATAAACATAGGGGACAACCTATCACTACTGATTTGAGACCCACTTTAACACCAATGAGAAAAAGTTTTAGTACAAACTATATGATAACAGTTTCTTTTGGTCATATGTCTCACCTATTTAATTTATATTTAAAACATATTAATTGAGTACCATTCTTAAAAAACAGTTTTGATCACTTATATAGCAGATTTTTCTGACAATGTGTTACAACTAATCCCGATCAAAAACTTTCTCTGTGGACTGATGATCCAAAGAAAGCTCTTTCTTGTCTACAAATGTACGAACAATCATCTTCGTCTTACTAGTGTTTGTTTTATATACTGAATATCTTCATCTTTGTAAGTTAAAAAAAAAAATCAAGGCATTACTGTTTTTACTGAAACAAAGGCATTCTTCAAATCTTTTAATGTTAAAAAATGGCAACAGTAGTATACCGCTGTTCGAAACTCATAAATCGATAGAGATAAAAACAAATCCGGGTTACAAACTAAAACTGAGGGAAACGCATCAAATATAAGAGGAGAACAACGACACAACAAAAACACAACATTAAAATGTAACACACACAGAAACGAACTATAAAATAACAATGGTCATTTTCCTGACTTGGTACAAGACATTTTAAGAAACCGTCTGTAAAGATCATCACTAGTTACAAAATATTTCAATTTATAAATCTTCAATATTTTGTATTAAATTACCATTATTATTTGTACAGTAAAAACAATCATATTACATTCTAGATGATTTAAAATATTTGACCAGCAGTTATAAAAACGGTCAAACAATGGACAGCATGCGTGGTTTAGTTTTGGTGCTGTTGGTGGTATTATGGATTTCGGGAGGTAAGTTGGATGAACTGATGGATTCTTATGTTCTGTCCTGGTCTTGGGAAGAAGATTTCTAAGACAGCTGACTATTTTGCTTTGTTCTAATAGATATTAGAACTGGTCTCAACTGTAAGAATATAGACTGGGTTTTTATTGACTACTTCATTGTGAGACAAAAACACGATATCTTATTTTACATTAACCAGAACGAGAAAGAGAAAAACACAAATCTAAGATCAAGAATAGATAGTTTGAACTTGTTGTATGAAACCCAACCCTTCTACTACTACTCTTGTTAATACATTTGCAGTTTATTTCTAAAAAAACGTTTTCAAATTAACTGCAAATGTGCATCTCAAATATTCCGTACTCAAATTCAGATGGCTGACATCATGTACATGTTGAACTTCATGTAATAACCATCAGATTATTTGGATCAAAATAGAGTATAGAAGCGTTTATAAATTAGCAATATGTTAAACCTTTACATTGTAAACATTTACACAAACTGCAAACACAAGTTGATGTAGTAAATGTTATAAACATTATATTTCATTCAAGAAAACATACTAATGATAACAGTATTTACCAAAATATTGGACACTACAACAGTCGATCTCGATTGGTCTTGATAACCTGACTGTGTACTGTACGAGCACAGCATGAGCGGGATTAAATCCAATTTAGGTGCGCATAAGACCTCCTTTTTGTCTGGATTTTGCTCATTGTTGAAGGCCTTACGATGACTTATAGTTGCTAACATCTACGTAATATAATCTCTGGTGGACAGATGTCTCATTGGCAATAAAATATCATCTCTACTTTTATATAAACGCTTTACTCGGGTTTCATAAAGGCCCATCATCAACTTACTAAATGAGAAAGAATGATAAGACGACAGTTTTGGCACATTGAGTTAAGGAAAATCAAAAGTATTATACATCTAACACAAACAATCGTTAAAATGTTCAAAAGACAATATTCTGTTGGACCTCAGTATTTCTATTTTCAAATGTTGTCTTTCATATTGGCATTAAAGCTTTATAATTCTTATATTTAGTTCAAAACAACAAAAACTGCAAAAAAAAACCCAACACATTTTGATATATTAATTTTTGGATATGAGCAACAGCGTTACCCAAATAGATAATCTGCTATAAAGTGTATCTTACAAAAAGGTTTATGTGTGTAAAAGCTGTTGCTCGTATATATTTATTTACATATATTGAGATCAAATACTTAAATTTCGACATGTTTATAATGTCGTAGTGACATCACATGGGACCTTTCTGAAATTAAGTGTTAAGTTCATTATTAACTTGTTGGGGCCTCGGTGGCGAAGTGGTCTAAGTAGTTCAACTACTGTATCACTAGCCAGTCAACACTGAAGTTGTGAATTCGAATCCCGCACGAAGCAGGTGCACTCGACTCCAATCCTAATTGACTAGGATTGTCAGTTTTCCTACCGAAGGTTGGTGGTTCTCTCCGGGCACTCCGGCTTCCTCCACCAATAAAAACTGACCGCCACGAAATAGCACAATAGTGTTGAAAGTGGCGTTAAATACCAATCAATCAATCAATATCAACTTGTTAATTTATCATTAAAGTAACATTTTGAAAGGCTTGACTCAGTTAATTATTCATGCTATTTCAAGGCAAAATAATGGCTTTTATTATAACTCCTCCTTTGTTAGATTTAAGGATGTTCGCTACTTTTGTTTTTGAAATTTTGCTAGATATTCGGAATCCTCTGGTTTTATCCATCTATTGCCAATAACAAATTTTGCCCGCTTACCCCTACTTTTCTTTCATAATATTATTACATATAATTTTAAAAGCCATATTTGGAAAATCTTATAAAATCCTTGTTATTTTTTCAAAGTTTTTGAAATAAAAAAGGTGTCAATGTTAAATGTATGAAAAATCTAGAGAGAATCATTTCCCACCAAATTTTCAAAGGCTTATATCTCGAAAACAATCACACGGACACTTGAAATTTTCTGCTTTTTCAGTTCTTTTATTTATAAACTATTGATTTATAACAGTCTTTTAAAAAGCCTGTTAGTTTGAAAGAGAATAGCGAACATCCTTAACTGTAAAACATTATATTTAATATCTGTATCTTCTTTATACAGCTGTATACGTTGCAGCAAGAGGTATTACACATGCATTGATATGGAACTATGATGGAAATAATGCAATGGACAAAAATCAAGATTTGATTTTACCAGGTATTAGTGTGTAATAAAATATACAAAAGAAATCTTAATTTTAAACGTACGTACAATTCATTAAACAAGATATGTCTGTACCAAGTACTTATACATGCATGTAAAAACCATACAGGAAACAAGATCTGCATTGACAAGGTATCTTTGTACAATACAAGAAACAAGATATATTTTTCTAAGTACTTATGTGCTAATACAATACAAAAGATATATCTTTAACAGTTTCGTATAACACAATTATAAACTAGATAAGTTTGGCCTGCGATCGTCCCCGGTTTTTGGTAGGGTTCGTTTTACTCAGTCTTTATTTTTTATACAAACATTTAATATTACAGGATTTATATTTAGAATGACAGGTGACTATAATCGTGAGCTTTAAAACATTGTGTACATAGACACAACTTGGGTACGTTTTCAAACCATTCATAGACATCACCTATTTTTAAAGAAATCTGATATTGCAGGGTCAATATTAAGAATGACTGGCGACTACAATCGTGAGTTTAAAAAAACATACATAAACAAAACGTATGCACATTTTCTTTTATGTTTCGATTCATTCATCAAAATCACCGTTTTTTAATTGGGACAGTTGATAAACAAAATATTTTAAAAGATTGCATTATACCATAGAGAAAAGGTCAGAATAATTAGCTATCTTTCTATAATAACGAGAAACTCCATAACATCAAAAAGAATTTAACGTTTCAAACGCCCGTCGTAGAAGAAATGTATTGCGGCATACAGTCTGATTGTCAATGAGCAAGATCATACTTTAAAAAAATTTCATAAACCGTGTATGGAGTTATTTAAATCACTTTCTATTAAATAAATTTTGGGTTTGTCTTTTCACACTTGCTGTAATTTAACATGTATGAAGGCAATTGCCGGTTAATATTTCGATTTTCACATTCCAATTGGTCACTAGCCGCTGCTATAGTCAGGTTTACTTCAATTAAAATCATGGTACAATTTCGGTATTTGAAAGGATTCCAAAATTTATAATAATATCTAAAATAAGGCGATTTACCTATTTTCAAATCTCGTTAATCGATTAGGAAGAGAAAGATAACAAACAAAACCTGAGGGAATCTCATGAACTCGAAATGATGTAAGACCGGTTGTGTCGACAGGGTCAATAAAGGCAACAGTAGTATATCGCGGTTCGAAATTCATAAATCGATTGAGGAAAAAACAAATCCGGGTAACTAACTAAAACTGAGGGAAAAACATTAAATATAAGAGAACTACGACACAACAGAAACACAACATTAAAATGTAACACACACAGAAACGAACTATAATATAACAATGGCCATTTTCCTGACTTGGTACAGGACATTTTAAGAAAAAAATGGTGAGTTGAACCTGGTTTTGTGGCTAGCCAAACCTCGCACTTTTATGGCAACGTCTCCTGCTATGCATGCATCACCCACTATGCTAATATATTCTACGTCAAATGTTGTGTTTTGTATACTCTAATTTGTCTTTTGGTCTTTTTCTTTTCTAGCCATGAGTTTTTAATTTATTTCCGACTTATGAGTTTGAATGTCCCTTTTGTATCTTTTGCATTTCTAGTGACCAGTTTTGCTCATTGTTGAAAGCCGTACGATTACCTATAGGTTTTAACATCCACATCATTTTGGACGGCTGTCTCATTTCCAGTCATACCACATCTCCTAATTGTTATCTAAGATAAGTCATTTTCAGGAACATGTGCATAATACAATAGAAAATATGTGTCTTTTGAAAGTACTTATGCTCACTATTATAAAAGAAGATAAATCTGTTCCATGTATTTATGCACAATAAAATAAACAATGTATGTCTTCTGCAGTTGGAACACGTTAACACATGCAGTTAATGTTTACTTTATTTCTATAGTAAGCTGCTATTGAACTCCTTAATAACTTATTCATATTGTAGATGACCTCAAAAATATTCATCGAATTCACTCTTTACTCAAAACTAAGTCAGAAGATATATATTTTGCCGATAGTTTGAACAAGTATGGATGTTGGTGTGCACAAAATGGAACTAGCAATCCTGTTGACGAACTAGACAGGTATAGTACTGTTTTTATTTTGTTTCTTTAAATTCATTTAAACTATTTGCAACCATTGGTCCCCTGAATGAATTTCATCAACGACTTTTTAAGTCTCAGAAAAGCCAAACAAAATTTAAAACGTTCAGATTTTGGTCTAGTAGCTGGATAATCGTAAGAAATTAGGACGAAACAGTGACATTCATTTCAATGTAAAAGACACTTATACCGGAAATTACTTTAATTGAGCGCGGTCAGGAACAATCGCTTGGAAACAAGATAAGTAAAAGAATCAAACGAAGTAGACTTAATTATAACTATCAAATAGAAAAAGAAATAGTATATTAAAAAAGAGGCGAAAGATACCAAAGGAACAAAGAAGGTGCAAATGTGACGATTAAAAACATAAAACACGACCAAAAAGAAAAACGAGAAAATATGAATTGTTCGGAGGTGAAAACAGTTCCAGTTTCAAAAGGCGGAACCCATCATGTCGCTCACCTACGTAAATAAATTCGTTAAACAGCATTGACAGTGAAGCATGATTTGTTTTCCTGTGGAAATCACCAAATGAAATAGGTTAAGAATAAAGAAAATGCAAAGAAAAGAATAACCAATATATGCAAAACGATTACCAGAACAAGAAAAAACGAAAACAACACGCTATTAATTTCATGCATCCGAAGCGCTTGTCTGGATTAAACTTCATCAAGATCGCTCAAAGCCGAATATTTGAAAGCCGAGGATGTATAAGACCCGAATTAGATGAAGAGCTTTATAACCAAAACGTACTTAAAGAAAAATAAACTGCGCTAGAGATTGGCCTGAAACTGTAATAACATAAATTGTGCGCTTGAAATGTATCCATTCTTTTTTTCTTCATGAAATTCAAATTTCATATTCTTTGGCAACCAATGAAATATGGGAATAAAAGATGGGGTGATATAAACGTCAATCAGACATCAACCCAATGACTAAAATATTCAAAACACTTTATACTTAAAAATGAATTCTAAATATACACCTTTTTCTACTTAGATGCTGTTTAGAGCACCAGATGTGCCTTAAAAAGATATTATTAAACGGTTGTCCAGTGTCATCTAGATATTACGTCTTTAAACAGTGTTTTGACTCAATATTGAAATGTAGTTAGTTAATTTAGATACTATACAGTAAGTTCCAACTTTGATTAATTGATCGAAAGGTTTCTTTTTTCTTCCTCTGGACAAATCCAAACAACTTTCAAGTTTTCTCTCAGTGCTGCACAAACCAATAACTATAGTTTGAACTTACGTGTATGATCGATATCAGATACACAAAATATGCTTAAATTGAAAGAGGTTGTTAAAATGATATCTGTGTTAGTATGACAATTTTTGTTTTGTTCGGTAAACATGTCTTTTTAATACATTTGTGATAGATTATACCAGATAGGAAATTGCTATTGCCCAGTATTTTCGTAGTTTTTAATTTAATTATATGGTGGATACAAGTGTGCTTTATATAAAATATACTGTGATATTTAAGTCGGGGGAGATATTCAACGTTTTATTTGACCAATCTATTGTATTCACTGTTGAATATTTATTACTGAGAGTAAATTAAAAAGATAGCAGATTCCTTGGAATTATAGTACATGCCGTATTATGTATTTCTTCACGATGGACCCTCAAAACAACAATGGTTTCATTGGCTTATTGTTTGCGTAACGTTTCGTTGCAACTATATCATTCATATTAAAGATAAGAACAAATAAACATTAAAAACGATATGTAAGTTTTTCTAAGTTTGTATACGCAATGAATGGTGGACAATTTCGACTGCAAGTAGAAAACGAGCGATTATACGAAATAGGAAATAACTTGTTCACCTTACCACAAGCCATATTCAAACTCTTAAAGGAGATGTTGTAACGATTCTTTAGCGTACAGTAAATAATGATTTATTTTCAAACTCCAATTGATTTTGTTTTTATTAACACAATAAAGCATACATTGTGACTTGAACAAGCACATAAAGAGTGTGACCGGGTTGACAAATGTTAGGGTGCTAAACCTTTCTGTTATAGTGGTATTACAGCCAAACTTATGGAGAAAAAAGAAATTCAAAAGTAAAGAGTTTGACAAAAATGTCTATAGCTAAAGCAACTAAAGTAATGAAATATACACAAAGTATCGCTCACTCTGTAGTTGCAGTTTCTAAATGCTAGTTTAAAGCAAAATTTCGAGTCATATACCATATTTTTCCATACAAAAATATCATTTAACGTACCTTGTATTTAGACTTCATGGAAAATCTCAATTCAATCCTGAAAAAGATTCAATCCTGAAAAAGATTCTATCCCTTTGAATATTCTCTAACTTGACTGTTATATTTATTATTCTTCAGACAATTTTTTTTATGCATATCTTTCTTCTCTTCAGCTGATAGGGATCAGTGCAAACATCAATTCTGTATGTGTGATATCGAGGCAGCTGACTGTTTGTCAAACAGGAAACTTTATTTTAATCAACGATGGAAGGAAGGAAATAAAGCTTACTGTATCAAGATATGAATGAACGGCCAACTAATTCGAACAATGAAAAGACTATGCCTATAAGGTCTGGTTCTCTGTGGAACAAAAGAGTCTTTCTCTGATAATCATTCTTAATTTATTCGAGTTTCTAATGTCTATATTTTTTCCTTTGTTATTAATATTACAGATTCCTTTATATTCATAAAAATATAATTTTGTTTGTTCTTTTTTTCTTTTGGGTTGATTTTTTATGTGTATATATAAAGAGAGAAGACATTGAGTTTTGCCATTAATCGAAATGAAATAGACAACGCGATGATCAAAATAAAAAAGACGAAATCATAAACAATAGTCCACAGAACACTACACAAAAAACTTATGATTGGCTAATACGAGTTCCACAAAAGTACAGGGTATGTTGCTCTGATAATCATGCGCGTGTGGTGATGTCATAATCGAGACAACAGGCATTGACTTGTGGTACGAATAGTGGTACAAATGGTGTGACAAATCGATGGTCATTTATGATTGAATTGATTTCATTTGCCTGATATGTTCTTTTTTTTTGAAGATTTTTATATCCAATTAGTAGAATTATAACAATTTAAAAGTAGCATATGTAAATGGATAAGGCTATATTTTTATGGTTGACGAGGCACGGAAGGATTAGTTGTTATAATTTACTAGTTCAAATTCCTCGCAAATTTTAGAGTTTATCGACTTTCAATCAACTAAAAATATTTGCAAAAAAGGCGGCGAAAGATACCAAAGAAACATTCAAACTCATAAGTCGAAAATAAACTGACAACGCCATTGAAAAAAAAAGAAAAAGACCAAATGACAAAGGACAAACAAAAGTACACAAGACACAACATAGAAAACTAAAGACTGAGCAACCCAAATCCCACCAAAAACCGGGGATGATCTCCGGAAGGATAAACACTTGTGGCACCTGTCGTGTTGCTCAAGTAATTACAAACCGGTGGTTAGTCTAATTCGGTAGGTCACATTCTGGAAAAGGAGGACAGGATTGTGGTTACAACGATTGGAACTTATCTGTCGTCATCTGTTAAACAGATATTCCATAACGGTCAATGAACTCGTGATGGCGTCCGTATAATTAGGAGAAGCCAATGACATTAAAATTTATTGTTCAGTCTTTTAAAAGCTTTTCACATCAAAAATACCGTTTCAGATCCAAATTGGTTTACTAGTAGTGTATTTAAGAAAGATAAACAAGAGAGTAACATTCTAAAAGACAAGACTTTCATTTTGATGATGGAGATCATTTGATATTTCTCAGATATTGTGCAGCAAATTTACAAGAGGAGTGGAAGGAAAATGTTCCAACTGTTTTATCAAATACTACGACAGTCAGGAAAAAATTACAAAATTAAATTCAACTTTTTAAGAAAAAGAATTAACATTATCTTTCTCATTATAACCATCGGCGCCATGTTAAAGACTTCTTTCAAATAGGTATGATATAAATATTTTCCTTCAAAAAGCAAATAAACTCATCATAGATACCAGGATTGAAATTTTGTATTTGCGCCAGACGCGCGTTTCGTCTACAAAAGACTCATCAGTGACGCTCGAATCAAACAAAGTTAAAAAGGCAAAATTAAGTACGAAGTTGAATAGTATTTAGGACCAAAAATTCCTAAAAGAAATACATGCTTGATGAAGCTCATGCTTTGTCATAGCTGAGTGCAAAATGTTAGGACTGATTTCGAAGATAAAAACTGTGCCATTGCGCATTTTTGTTATATCAAGTCTAAAGGTCTGGATTGGGTTTACATAATAGAGAGAACGTAGGAAAATTAGAGAATAAAGGACAAAAGAGATACAGAATAGAGAAAAATAAAGAATATAGTATAATGGGGAGCTAAAATATAACAATAATGATCTACAAAATGAAAAAAAAAGGATACAAATGGCTTATTAATACACATTATCCAAACTCTCAAGCATTTGCTGGTAAATACCAGTATAAATGAATAAGGTTTGGGTCGGTCGAGGTTCGAATTCACGACTTCTCGCCCTCTAGGTAAACACGCAACAACGAGACCACCGATGCATTCAATAGGATAGGAAAGACTTCCTTGTTTCGTCAATTTTTAAAACGAGGATTTTCGTTGTATATAGCTTCTTAAGGGTAAAATTCAAAAGAATATGGGAAAATGTTTAGCGTAACAAATGGGCTTAACAACACTTTAAGTGCAGTTCGATAATTCCATTGGTACTTTTCAAGATTTCAAATAATAATTTTAACAGAGATTTGTTGCCTAAATACCGTCATGATTTATTCAAAAGTGAATTTTTCTGAGGTTTCATGAAGTTAAACCATAAATTGAGACTTAGCAAAGGAATGTTACAACTCTCTCATAACAGAAACATTATTACTTTCAATCAATGACCAAACACTTGACGAAAAATACCATATCTTTTAGTTGACTGGTGTCCTTCAAAAGTACGTGCTAATTATGGAAGACAGAGCAATAACATGTTTTAATGGAGGAAGCATGTGATTATCTGTTCGGGATGTATAAAGTAAAAACCTATTTTGAATATTTTGAAAAGCTTTTGTCTATTTTAAGCATGTTCAGAGCAAGGTTGTTCACACTGTATTACATTTGAAAGTTTGTGGAATACTAGTACTCAGTGAGAGGTCACACAGGAAGGGTAATGTTGTACAGGCGAGTTCATGTCTTGATTTGTGTGATTTAAAAGCCAAATAGTTTCTGAAAAAATAAAAAAATAACGCTCGGCAATTGTTTGAAAAAATATGTTTAAGTTTTCCTTTTTGGTATTTTAAGGGGCATAAGTTGTCAAATTCATGTTCTCCGATTTATCTCAAATTCTCATATGTACTGTATAACATACATAAAAGTATTATCCAAATTACAACAAGTCTAAAATAAACAATTAATAATGCATAGACTCGATAATAGGTAACAGCATTTCGTGTGTATTTTAGTATGGACGCCATCTTTTTAACTATCTAGATCACCTCCTAAGACTGCCGACGGACATATAACCCGATATAAACAAAAATAGAAATAGAAATAGATAGAGAGCCCGTGCAATTAGATTTTTCTAGGTCTGTTTGATTTCATATTATAGGTTAAAAATATGTTGATCCTCGTGTTTACCTGTATAAGAATGATTTTTGTGGAGCTAATCAGTCAACCAAATGGTTCACATGTTTAACTTTCAATGTTGACATTCTTTTGCTTTTGACAGCTGAACACGCCTAGTACGTGCGTTATCTATCTATCTTTATCCAAGGAATTAAATTGAATGTTACATGAATAGGGACTCAATGAGGAAATTATTCTACTGCAAATCAATAATACATCAGCGATGTTTGTGAGCTTGTTTTGACAAATTTGGGTCAAACTGACTGCATGCTTATAACGAAATATTATTTCAAAATTTCGCTTTTATCGATACTTGTAACAAAAAAATTCTATTTTGATTTTTCGTCTAAATCGTAGCTAATATAAAAATAAGCAGATGTGGTATAATTGCCAATGAGACAACTCTTCACCAGAGACCAAATGACATAGAAGTTAACAACTAATGTCCCGTTAAGGTTATTTGAAGTTTGATAAACCTCAAATTTAATTAATCTTTGGTATTCTTTATTCCATTTATTCGACGTCTGTTCTGTTTGATAAACTCCGATCTCGTTCAGGACAGACATAACGTTACGTCAACTTGATTGTATCATTTGTATTTTCCAAAAACATAAGTTTGTACTCTACTTAGTGCAAATGGCACAGAACTAAACAAACAAAAAAAACTTTCAAATATATATACAGTGTAGCTGATTCTGGTTTTCATCAGTAACGGTAGAAGCAATACCTGAAGTTGTCCTTATTGTTTCGAAACTAATTTTGATGGAAAAGCCGATTGGTTTTAGTATCCAAAAGCAGCGGCTGACATCTGTCGTTAATTTTTTTAGATCGGTATCCGTGAACAAAACACAAATTATGAAACAAGAGAGATAACTCTTTTTTTACTGATAGCATTCTAACTAAATATGAAATAGTAAAAATTGTGCTAATAAACAGCTGCATAAAAGATACAAAGTTACATTTCATACCGTATTTTTCTCTTGCTATGTAGAGATGTTCTATATCATATTGGTTTCATATATAACCATAGGAACAAGAATATAGAGTGTTAAGCTTTTTCCCACCATGGTAAGGAACCGAGGAAAATCAAACAATTTATAAAATTTCCGTAATCTAAAGATATGAGCTGCGTCGGATAGATATCAACCTTATGGAAGTGCACATATACATGTACACGTATAAGACACTGATTGATTTTGGTGCATTCAAATACGTAATGAAAGATGATGTTTTGTCTGTTTTGTAAGGTTCTTATACCAACTAAATTTTCAAACAGTTACAAACTTTGCATAGAGATTTTTTTTTCAACCCGAAAAAGGTTAACAGATGTATTGATATTCATTTGAATAAGGTCGATATCTATCCGACGCAGCTCATATGTTTAAATACGTCACATTCTGTTAGCATATATGATATAGAAAGTCCTTTTAGGCCAGCAACATGAAGAAACTCTCCGAAATTTACACAAATCATAAACGCATATCGCTGAAAATGGTGAGATTAAATTTGAGTACTGAATGCTTAAAGAAACTGGCCCTATGTTCATCAAAACGGGCAGCATTGTTCAAATAGAGTGTTAACCCTGCCTTTTAAAGGGGCATTAGCTGTCAAATTCATGATCACCGATTTTACTCAAATTCTCATATTTGATTTATAACATACTAAAACGTATATCCAAATTACAATAAGTCTGATATAAACAATTTACAGTTCATGGAATCAATAGTATATATCAGCTTTTCGTGTGTATTTTAGTCTAGACGCTATCTAATTGACCATCGAGATGAACTCCGAAGACTGCCGACGGTCATATAACCCGATATTAACATAAACATATATATATATAGAAAGCGACCTCGTGCAATTGGACTTTTCTAGATCTGAATGATTTCACGTTATAGGTTAAAAGAATAAGTTAATTGTCGTTTTTACCTGTATGAGAATATTTTTTTGTGGATCGAATAAGTAAACGAAAGGGTTCAGCTTTGTTTCACTTTCAATGTTGACATTCTTTTCCTTTTAATGGCTGAACACAACTAATACATGCGTAACCAATCTCTAGCTAATGGGTTAAA